GTAGGAAATACAATGGAAGGAGACACAAAAAAGCCACTGGTTTTTTCTCTCCAATATTAAGCCGATTTTCCAGCAAGAAGGCAGCCACATTTTCTCTCAGTTTCGTACACAAATCACACACTTACGGCTAGGGCAAAGACACCATATATATAGAGTCAGGTAAGACTTTAGTTGGACCAATAAAATGGTTAAATGGGCCAAGATTCAAAGCCATCCAATAGGTAATATATATGGGTAGTGAGCAACATTAATTGTTTAAGTTACTTTTAACGGTCCACGTTGCTTTCGGGTCTAGCCTTTGGTAATAATTTAATTCAACGTTTATATCATAACCCGGGATTCATTGGGTATAAAAAAAATCCAACAAATTTCCACCTTAATACCCAATCAACCTACAAGTAATCAAAACATAGAGTTAATGCTTGCATAATTAAGGCAACCAATAAAATTGGGATCACACACATGACCTCGTGTTTCAAGCCTGAAATACATACGATACCTGCTCCATGTACTCATCGGTGTTAAGATCAAGAAAACACCCAAGTAGAAGCAGATAATAACAACAAATAATCATGCGATGAAGGTATAACATAGGATAATCCACGGATCTTTTCAAAACATGTTTACACAGAAAAACATATTAACACTAAGATAATCAATCAAATGGATAAATGACCCCATGAAAAGATCTCGTCGTACTTATCCTATCCCATTCCATTTTGCTCACACATCGAGAACACATATGTCACATTATCGTCCACTAAGCTTACTAGACTGATCACTCAACCCATGTCTAACTGGTAAGCCACAATAGATCCTAAGTTTTTGGTATAATCCTCTGTCACCACATCACTTCTCCCAACCTGTGTAGATAATGGGTCTCCACCTAACAAAAGTGATAGAAGTGCATCTCTTACACTCTACGTTATCAGGGTCCTTCATAGATGAAGGATATCGGACATTTAATCACCTTTCCACCCGTGATCCAAATGCCACGCTCCACATCACCGGTACAAACCACCAATTTACCCTTATGCATCTATAGTCCATCTTACCAAAAGACATACAACACACTGCAAATGTATCTTAACCCACTATGCGTGCAAAAAATTACATCAAATAATAAGATCACTCCAATTCATGTCAATGCACATATCAAACACATTGAAGTGAACAATCACACACATACAGAAAGGATTACACACGGATGCACATGCAGTAACTAGGTTTAACTCAATAAATCTCACTAGGGTCATCAATCGACCCTATAGCCAAATTCACCTCGCCTATCATTTTTCTTCTTGGGACAATCTCTAATAAAGTGTCCAGCCTTACCACAATTGTAACATCGTCTACCATTAAACGTGTCTCATCTCTTGCCCTTCTTCTTACCACCCTCATCACTCGATTGCCTTGAGCTCTACCCATATTCATCTGCTTAAACTTCATTATATTCATCATCATATTTAATTCACCACTCATCTTATCATCATTTTTAGTCTTAATCTCCATCTCCTTACTTCTAAGAGAATTAATGACAATTTTAGGTGTTAAGGTGTCTCTACCATACTTAATCGCATTCTTAACCTCTCTATATGAATCGGGTATAGAATTAAGCAAAATGATGGCCTTATAAGTTTCAGAGACATTTTCATCAATTAATGATATCTTGAACCAACTTGTTAAAAAACATCCAAATTATCATCAATATCCTTTGAAGGATACATTTTAAAGTTGAAAAATCTTCCAAGTAAGTCCAACTTATTAGGAGTAGACTTAATCAAATATAAGTCCTCCAACTTTTACCAAAGTTCTTTAGTAGAATCAAGTTTTTCAACTTTTCTCAAAACGGTGTCAGATAGGTGTAAAATAATTGAAGTGTAAGCAAGTTCATCATATTCTTCTTTTTGTGTTTCTATTAAATTTGCCATTTTTTGTTGAATCAAAATTTCCTTCATCTTTTGTTATCAAATTGAAAAGTCTCATTTCTCATTGAAAATTTCAATTTTGAAATGTGAACACATTTTGAAAAACATAACAACCAAAATGCATAAATAGGCCACACAAAGTAATCATAAAGCAATAATATACACAGTTCTAGATTTCCAAAGTTTCGTGAGACTCGATATCTCAAATCAAGGAAATGTTCAAACGGGTCAAGTTTAGGTGTTCTAACGGAATAGCCAATGCAACACGAAGATATGTCAACAAAAATTCAAATTCTAATGCAATTAAACACAGAAGCAATTATCAACTTGCAATTAAATCCAACACTTCAAATAGAGCAAATACTTCCCAAATTTCTAGCACAAGCAATGTTACCCCACACGGTAACCTCAATTCTAATGTCACCACACACGATGATCGCTAACGCTGAAATTTAAATTGGGATAAACCAATATACTAGAGCGGACCAATCTGAGTCCGTAATATCGAGAGATGCGAATTTATCATTTTAGGACCACCACTAATCTTCCTAAAGTGTCCAGCAATCATAGAGAACAATCAACTACGATCAAATTCGGAACTCGCAAAGAACACAATCATCGAGACTTCGCTATATAACCTGAAACGGAAAACTAACAACACCACAATGTCTGAAAAACTGTCAGCAACAAACTACCTGAACAGACCTCTTCTGGAAGACGCCTCATGAGCCACCCCACAGCCTCTGTGCGTGGGCTTCATGCATCGCCATTGAAAAATCTCACGCTCCGCTCACTATGGTTTGCCTCAACCTGTACGTCACGACAGTGGTCTCCGTTTTACTAAACTCTTTCTGGATTGGCAGAAAATCACTAAAATAGCCTCGATTTTTACGCAGTTTTTCAATCTATTTTTCTGCTTTGATTCTACTGCCTTTTTGATCGATTTTTGGTCAGTTTTTCAAGTCAAATCCATCACCTTGAAGCTATGATACCAATTGTCGCGGAAGCTTGCTCGAAATGTCATCAAAACGGTGTTTTCTACGCTCAGTTTCACGTTATCTTTTTTTGTACCAACCAACCAATCCAAACGGCATCAACCCACACCAATATATTCGCATTGGTTGCTGTTCAATCTCACCCACAAATGACAAGATAATGGCGATGATTTGTAAGCTACAAAGGCAAGAGAAATACAATGGAATGAGACACAAAGAGGAAGCCAAATGCACAAAGAAGCCACTGGTTATTTCTCTCCAATATTCAGCCGATTTTCCAGCAAGAGGGCAACCACGTTTTCTCTCAGTTTCGTACACAAATCACACACTTAGGGTTAGGGCAAAGACACCATATATATAGAGTTAGGTTAGGCTTTAGTTGGACAAATAAAAGGGTTAAATGGGCCAAAATTCAAAGACATCAAATAGGTAATATATATGGGCCATGAGCAATATTAATTGTTTAAGCTACTTCCAACAGCCCACGTTGTTTTCGAGTATAGCCTTTGGACTTGATTGTTAGTAATAATATAATCCAACGTTCACATCATAGCCCGGGGATTCATTGGATATCAAAAAACCCAACAAATACGATGAATAATGCTACTTGTACATAAGTAGTTTACATAATGCTATTTGTAATATGAATATCGACTCCAAATTTATTTAAAATGAAGGCTTATTTTTTGACCATTTTTCTTCAACCTTGCCATGCCACGTTAAAGTAAGTTTTATTGCGCAGGCACTGTTGCAACATATATGAGGCTGCTTCCAAAGATCAAGAGGAGATACGATTATGCAGTGATGATCTTCATTCTCACCTTCAATCTTGTCCTTGTATCGCCTGTACGCTCAGATATCATTGTAGCTTTAGCCCTGAACCGACTATCGACGGTTGGTATGGGCTTGGCGATCTGCATCTGCATTAGTATCTTCATCTTTCCTATGTGGGCAAGTGATGAGCTCCATTACTCTATAGCCTTCAAATTTGAAAAACTTGCCTCCTGTATTGAAGGTAACAATTAGATTCTAGTCAGCTTTTATGAATTAAATTGAAGGTATCAAAATGCACTATTTTTATACATTTACTGTCAGAGGCAACATAAATAATTTGGAAACAATAGTCAAAATCGTCAAGGGATATTTTTTGAAACAATAATAAAAAATTAGCGAAGTAAATGTATATCCATAGGCGACCGCCTTATAATTCACTTAATACTTAATCTGACTCTGTGTAGGATGCTTGGAGGAATTTTACACAATGTCCAATGATATGGAAACCCTACAAAGTATCGTTATGCAAACCTGCAAGTCTATACTGCACTCAAATGCCAATGAGGAATCACTAGTAAGTTTTAACTTATATACTGCACTCAAAGGCATGCCAGACATACTTTATACCGCGTGCACATGAAAGCCGTAAAAAGTAATAACGGCGTTCTTTTACAGCATGCAAATGCTTTGCATGCCACAAAAATTGAGTCACATTTTACGATATAGCTTTATACGGCATTTAACCGTAAAGAACTTTTTATGGCGTACAATACAAGCCGTAAAAAGTAAACGTTATTGTAGTGAATGTCATGGAAATCATTTATTCATGTGTACATCCCCATATTTTCTAAATTTTTTCTCACGTGTTATAGTCCATTAGTACACTTTAATCGGAACAAAATTTATTCATATACCGCAGGCAAATCTCGCTAGATGGGAACCTTGGC